ATTTTTTGGTTGCAGCCGTCATTGTTGTTTGGCGGATCTGGGCTGGGGATTCGAACCCGCCACCTTTGGTGTAGATGGCTGGCACCTTAGCCGGTTGAGCTATAGGCGCTGAGCCTATACTGTATTTTTTTTAGGGAGGTAGAATATACTATTCCAATCAAATGTGAGTATACTGAACTTCTTCAATATGTGTACAGAGTAGGGACAGTTTCCAAACCAAAGTATAAGAATACTGAGCTATTAATTTAGTTTACTTCAACTGAGCAGTTTTTCTGAGGGAAGTAAAGGATGAAAGAGTTGATGATTAAACAGATGAGAAAGACAACTGAGTATAGAAATGAAAAAATATAGGTTGGGTGGGTGGCTCATGCCTGTAATCATAGCACTCTGGGAGGCCAAGGTGGGTAGATTGCCCGAGTAAGAGCAAGACCCTATCTCTAAAAATAGGCACTGTGGCAAGTGCCTAAAGTTCCAGCTACTTGGGAGGCTGAGGGAAGAGACTCGCTTGAGCCCACGAGTTTGAGGTTTCTGTGAGCTAAGACACTAGGGCACTCTATAGGGGGTGACCAAGAGAGACTATGTCTCAAAAAGAAAAAAAGGAAGAAAAAGAAATGAAAAAATACTAGGGAGAAATAAAAGATGGTGAAGATTTTTGATTTATGTTATGAGGTATCAGATTCTGTGCCAGGCGTACCTGGTATACCTACTAATCTGGTGGGTTTTGTGTTACCTCTGTACTTTTCAATAGTGTATCTAAAGAGGTTAAAAGATGAACAATGGTTTGGAAAAAGCAAATTCTGGAAAATAGAAACAGCTTTGTTTGGAGCTCACTTTTTTTTTTCTTGAGACAGAGTTTTACATTGTCACCCTTGGTACAGGGCCATGGCATCATAGCTCACTGCAACCTCAAACTCTTGGGCTCAAGTGATTCTTTTGCCTCAGCCTCCCAAGTAGTTGGAATACAGGTGCTGACTATAACACCTGGGTATTTTTAGAGACAGGGTCTCACTCTTGCTCAGGATGGTCTGGAACTCCTGAGCTAAAGCAATCCACCTTGTTGCTCTGGCCTCCCAGAGTGCTAGGATTATAGGAGTTGAGTCAGGAACTCACTTATTTTTAACATAACTTTTTACTGCCTGTCAATACTTTGCTACATATGCAGTATGCAAAATCTTGTCCTCCTATATCCTGAAGGGTGAAAATTGCCCAGTGGGCTTGGTGCCTGTAGCTCAAGTGGCTAAGGCACCAGCCACATACACCTAAGCTGGAGGGTTCGAATCCAGCCTGGGCGCACCAAACAACGACAGCTGCAACCAAAAAATAGCCGGGCATTGTGGCAGGTGCCTGTAGTCCCAGCTACCTGGGAGGCAGAGATAGGAGATTTGCTTGAGCCTAGGAGTTGGAGGTTGCTATGAGCTGTGATGCCATGGCACTCTACCCAAGGCGACAGCTTGAGGCTCTGTCTCAAAAAAAAAAAAAAAGGAAAAAAAGAAAGTTGCCCAGTGGGACACAGTGGTCTGTGTTATGCTCTTGCAATTCATGTTTACAGAATAAAGCACAAAGAAACACAATCACACCTTTATTGGAAGTTAAATATGCAAAATGGCCTCACATTTTTATTATATCAAAATTACATGTATTTAGCAGATCAAAATATCTTCTCCGGGGGGAAAAATAGTAAAACACAATTCTTGAAAAACATAACTTTTATATATAAAGTATAGTATATAGCCAAAAAAATGTAGACATCAAAATTTGCTACAGTTCATCATGTTGGTATACATTGTACTCCTTGGGAGAAATGAAGCCATCACCATCATGGTCATTCTTCTTAAAAATATCTTCTAAAACAGCATCTTGATAGGACTTGTCACGTGGTTTCTCATCTTTTTCAAATTCCCTTTTCAAGTACAGATTTATCTATTGGGCCAAAATAATATTTTTTTGATAAAAGTTATCAATAAATTTCCAAGAACTCTGAGGAATGTTTACAATAATGAAACTCATACTCAAAGATTATTTATAGGTTAAGTGATAAAAAATTTTAAAACGCTAATTGAAGCTTTATTTTTTTTTAACCTTTGAAGCAATGTTCTGGAGAGAAATAGGTTTTGAAATTAGCTTCCCTTGAAGGTTATAGATGGTTAGTGGTCCATACTCAACAACTGGTGTTTGAGTTGAATGTTATTGAAACTATATTATAAATGTTTTCCAACAGTGTACACTATTCACACTATTGTCAAAGCAAAATTCCTCTTAAGGATTTCCATTAGCAGATAAAACATAAATTGGCATTTTTATGATCTCTAAAAGTAGTAAGTATATAATCAATACTGTGGGCTTTGAAATTTTAAAAATTAAAATTTCTTTCTTTCTATAGCTCTTCCCCCAAACTACATAACTATGACAATCTCTCTAATATTAACATCAAATGAACCGATATTCTGAAGTATTCTCTGTTTCTCTACATAAAAAGAATTTCTCTACATGAACACATGTTGAAAGCATTGTCCACTGTAACAGCCACTAGTTACATGTGATTACTAAGCCCTTGAAATGTGGCTACATCAAACTGAGATGTGTTACTATAAATGTAAAATATACAACACATTTTGAGACACAGTTTCACTCTGTTGCCATGGAGTTGACTGCCATCATGTCATCACAGCTCAGACTCTCTGACAAGAGATCCTCATGCCTCAACTTCCAGAGTAGCTGGGACTACAGGTGCCTACCACAACGCCCAGCTAATTTTTTTATTTTTAGTAGAGACAGAGTCTTGCTGTTGCTCAGGCTGGTCTCCAACTCCTGAGCTCCTGCAATCCTCTTGTGTTGGCCTCCCAGAGTGCTAGGACTACAGGTGTGAGCCACCGTGCCAGGTCTGTGAGTAGACTTTATTTTAGTACAATCCATAGACCTTAATGAAGGACATATCAACTGTTCTCAAGTGGAGTTTTGGTCCTATAGAGGGAGATGTTTTTCTTCTGAGATTTAGCAATCCTGTATAGGCATAAAGATATTAAAGAACCTCAAGTATACCTTAGATTCTAGCTTATTAAATTTATCTTTTTAAAACCATATTGCTGATGCTCAAAATCAATTCCTTTTCCAGTACAGTAGAGTGCAGAGATATAAAAGGCAGTGGGTAAGAACATGACCTTAATTTTTACCCACATTACTTCCACTTTGTATTTTGATATAGTATTTCTCTCCCCACCCTCCATCACCTTATTTACACTGGGGAAATAATTTATTATACCTTTCTGATGAAGAAAGGAAGTTGTTTTTTTTTGAGACCAAGTCTTATTATGTTGCCCTCAGTAGAGTACCATGGCATCACAGCTCACAGTAACCTCAAACTCTTGGGCTTAAGCAATTCTCTTGCCTCAGCCTCCCAAGTAGCTGGGACTACAGGTGCCCACCACAACGCCTGGCTGTCATTTTGTTA